TTTCCTTTTCAAAGATTATCCATTTGTATACATTCCCGCGTGTTAGTACCGCGAGATGTGAAGAGCTTTATTAAGAGTGATGGTGATAAGCTTGAACTGTGCAACAATGTGCTTGTGCTGAAAACCATTGACAGCGTGAAAAGAGTGATTTGCCCTCAATCAGCAGCAGAGAGGATTTTAAGGGCTCTTCATGATGGAAATGGCCATTTTGGAATTGATAAGACTATTGCTGCTGTGCAGAAGAAGTTCTTCTGTTTTGGATGGCGACGCGATGTAAGAGAGTGGTGCATGTCCTATGTTACTTGCCTAAAGAGGAAAAATCCTTCACTGCCAGACCGAACACCTGAGGGGAAGACGATTATCCCAGATCAACCATTCTTGTGGTGGAAAATGGACTTCCAACAACACAACGGGGTAATCGATACTTGTTTGTGCTGTGTGATCCTTTCAGCAAATGGGTAGAGGCATTTGCAGTACCTGATCAGTCGGCGGAAAAAACTGCTACAAATATATATAACGAAATTGTGTGCCGCTATAGACTGCCAGAGGGACTACAATCTGACCAAGGTCGGAACTTTGAAGCTAAACTTCTCCAAGAGTTGTGCAGCAAGCTGGGCTTTAAAAGAACAAGAACCTCTCCATACAACCCACAGTGCAATGGACAGGTTGAAAGAATGAATAGAACTCTAGCTGAAAGACTAGCTCTTCTAACAGAAGCTCATGACCAAAAGGATTGGGATGAGAAGTTACCGTCAGCATTGTCAGCTATTCGCACATCAACAAATAAGGTCACAGAAGAGACCCCATTCAAGATTGTGTTTGGCCAATCCCCTAGAGACAAAACAGACAGTGATGTAAGTGGAAATCAGAAACCGGTGACTGATTCATCAGCTAAACTGAGTGTATCAGTGATTTGCAGAAGACTGTGAGAGAGAAGATTTTAAAAGAGCAAGAGCAGAGGTGTGAAAAGAAACAACATACCAAATTTCCACCATTCAAAGAAGGCGAAAAAGTGTGGGTATATCATCCTCAGCAAGTGCGCGGAACATTTCGGAAACTCATCTAAGAAAGATGGGAAGGGCCTTACCACGTTGAAAGCCAAATCCGTGAAAATACTTGCCATATTCACCCCTGTGAAGGAAATGGACGCTCGCGCGTCATCAATCACCGGAAGCTGGAAAGACATTTTAAGAGACCGGACCACTTGACTACAAGTAGTAGTGGTAGTGATAATGCTAGAGACTGTGTTGTGAATGTGGACACTGAATGTCAATCTTCAGATTCACCTGACATTAACAACTCTACAGGCAACATCAACATTCCAGGAGGTGCAAGTGACATTGTGTTGGGACTTGATGATGTGTTCCCAGCAAGTGTCGTGAAACAAAATTCAACAGACAATTGCCAGAGATATTCCAATCGGATTCGCCAGCCCCCAAAGTGGCAGAGTGACTATCATCTTAACATTGCCTGTATTTCAAGTGAAAATGCTTTTATTGGCATGTTAGTGTTGTATTTGTAATTAACACATTCACCTGTTTTATGCTTACCTGTAAATAGTACTTTATGATACTCGGTTTAATCAGTGTCTAATTTCTCTTCTAATTATTATGTATGAATGTATCTGAGAAGGAGGAGTGAGTGAGTGAGTTAGTTGGGTTTAACGCCGCTTTTAACAGTATTCCAGTTATATCGCGGCGTGTCAGCTTAATGTGGGAGGAAAGCCCGAAGTGATGCAGGTCTCAGACGTTTACCACTTCGGTGAAACCCACGAGCACGGGTATGGTGCTGACAAACCTAGAAACATAATCGTTGGGCGAACCGGAATTCGAACCCACATATATAGGTTTCTGGCGTGCGCAAGGGACTGCACAGCGAATCGCGGCGCCTTAAACGACTGGACCACCCATGCCCCCTTTTTTTTACTCAGAACATATTTGCCACTAACAGTACTAAGTGCTCTGAATACATATTCCTGAGACATAACAATGAATCGGATACACCTATGACTATCAATGTACCATTTCGGTACTCATCATTCTTGGACTGTTAAACAAATGTAGACATATAATGTTTACAAAATATTATATCTGAACTTGCAATGTGCAAAATTCAAATGATCGAATAAAACCTCCAAAAGCAGCTACAATCATTGCAGCAACTATGCTGTCTTTAAAATATTTCTCACTTTCTAGAGACGATACCACACAACGAAGTTGCAATATTTCTATAGGTGTATCTCGCATTCTTCTTTTAACAAGATCATTAAGAAGTGTGTAGTCAACATGGATCACCTCCAAAGAGTTTGCTTGCTATTCAGAGTGTCGATATGCCAACTGGTAGCATCGGCAAGCTTCAAGAACATTGGCATCGCGTTATGACAACACAAGTGTATGCAGTATGGCTGTCGAGGTATTCGATACAACATTGAGAATATGACGTGTCATCTGTCAGAAATGGACTCAGAAGTGATTATCGAGGAGACAGGACACTTCTTTGGACCTATACATTTATCAAATGTAAGATTTGTACAAAATTCCTACAACCATCTTATTTTCTTAACATGATCATACGGATTAATATGTGGATTTTCTTCTTAATTGCTATATCTTCCAATTGTGCACAGTGATGTGTAGGATGACGAGCAAAGAAGACTGCAAAGCAGTATCACTGCACCATACATATGAAAGTCAAATAATGGTCTTCCTATAAACATACCATTTTCATATCTATCATATTTCGTGTAGTGACCAGTCATTCAGTACTGGAAAATACTGCTATCTGACTAATATTATGCTTTTAAATTCAAAGTAGTTTCATTGTGAATATTTTTTAAGTAAGATGTACGTTCGAATCATGTTTTTCCTTCAGAGTTTGGCAGAACCATACCCATTCCTCTGGCTTTTCTTCCCAGCAAAGGTGCCATGGTGTCACGTGACCGAAATACTGTTCAAAATTGTGTTAAGCCCAATTTACACACTGAGTGACGTTAAGTAATGATTGTCAAAATTACACAGTGAAAATAGATTTAATTAATCCCTAATGGCCCTGGTCTTCAGTGCTGTAATGTTGTGTAAACGCTGCATGCAGAAGTATTTCCACCATCCAATACTCATGTTAGTTAACTCTAACGACAAGCATAAGGTACGAGGGGCCTTCTCTCACCCAGAATCAGATAGGTTGGCAAACTGTAGCAAACATGTCTGGATCACTCTCTAACCATTGCAGTCAACCTAGTGCCTCTGCACGAATCGTCACATCTTATACAGTCCATTAGACTGTTTCTCTTTTTTTTAAAGTCTATACAGTAAACTACGGTTATAATGAACACGCTTATAACAAACTGACGGAAATAACGAACTTACTTTTTTGGTCCCGACTATTTGCTGTAGTCATGCTGTATATATGCTTATAACGAACTATGGTTATAACGAACTAAAATTAGTAGTCCCCTTGAGTTCGATATAACCGTACTTTACTGTACATTGAAAAAATAACCCCTCCTTTTTTACACTGATACCCATGGAAATTCGGGTTATGATAGGTCTTCAGCTGCCCATGCTTGCTGTAAAAGGCGACTATTCTTGTAACCGGATCGGGTGGTCAGGCTCGCTGACTTGGTTTGATGCATGTCATCGCATCCAAGTTTGCGTGTTTATGCCTTCTTCCACCAGCAGTCACCGAACTCTTTTGCATAGCTAGCGGTACGGCTACTTTGATGTGTAAAGGTATACAGTGCTTCTCCTAGTTGAAGTAGCACATCTTTATAATTATGCAAAACGGTCTGTAATTAACACTAAAGGCTGCCATTAGACCAGACTGGACTTATTTTTAGAAGTAGAGCGTTTGTATAAAACCAATGAAGAGAGTCCAATCCCGTGATATGCAAATTTACTTGTGGCGCGTGGCGTGAGAGTGATCGTCTTTGCAGAAATTCTGTAACTGAACTATTTTCGAGATAAAAAATGATCGCCTGGTATTTCATGTCGGAATCTCTTTTGTATAACGTTACTGGTAATTACACATAAAAAGATAATGTTCTTTATCATATAATGGGTATGTTTCTCCGACTTTCTCCGCAGGATATAGCAAACGGATATCCGTTGGGGTCATATGCAGATAGAGATGCAAATATCAAAGGTCGGGACTACTTCCAGATTAAGAATTAACCATCAGGAATCTGGAGAAACTAGATAATTGCTATCATTATCAAAAGAAAATTCTAATATTCTGAAAATCAGTGTCTATCTGTGACGTAGCACGTTTTGGCAACTTTGGAGATATCAAGTGCAAAACAATTTTGCGAGCCAAGCGGGATCACTTTCCATATACCTTTGCAGATTGGAACCTATTCAACAATTTAAAACAGTGGGATTTGACCGAAATATGTTCGAGTTGTAGCCTTGTTTCGTTTTGTGGCTGTGTGTACATCATATAAACTTCGTAACGTTATAACAGGAGAGGCCGACTGTCAACAACGTCTGACTGTGTCGGTGACGTTTCATAGACTAAGGTTAGAGTAGCTTCCCTTTGATAAAGGGCAGTTACTCTTTTGGACAGACCGATGGATTGCCGCGAAAGTAAAAATAATTTGTGTAGGCAATTGTTGTGTTGTATATATGTAGTTACGCCTCTGTATAAGAAATAGGTTTCAGTTGGAACTATATTGGCAACTGTCACTGTCCGACTGACACATATCTTACCTTCTGACGTAATATATATTAATGCGCACATTCCAGGAAAACTTGCAATGTTTAGGTAATGTTTCTGAGAGATGGGAAGATATTTTCGAGCACAGAATTGAAGAATGACATTATATGATGAAGTGGTTATCACGCTTGTGTGTTTTGGGATGGTAAATTCCCTGTTAGGAATAAACACTTTGTATTATGCTCGCCAAGGCCCGCTTAATACAATGTTTATTCCTAATACAGGATATTTACCATCCCCAAACACACTCGCGTGATAACCTCTCTATATACTTTGAAAACGTAAACGAGTCCATGTGATAAATTTTATCCAATCAATGAAACTTTTGCTTTTGGTGCATAGTAGCAGTAGTGCATCCTTGGATTTTTGCCACCGTCGATGTACGGATGTGATCCTCCGAGTGAGTCGTCACCCCAGATGTCCTCAGTGTCGGTTTCTACGTATTCCTCCGTCAGTCTCATATCAGTGACCCGCTGACACCCTCGGTTGTACTTGAGAAGGAAGAAAGGCTTGCTGGAGGGGAGAGCGATCTCATGGATTGGCAGCCCGTCGTCTCTGAAGAGAAATCAGTCAAGATGTGGGCCAATTGTCGGATCCATGATGAAATTGTATTTGTTGACTCAAATGTTATCATGTGTACAAATGATCATCATTATAACACAGGGCAAGTCCTTTGGGGGACCGAACACTTGATGTAGTGGTGGTGGTGGAGCATACTCGAGGGGGGTTCGTGGGACTTTATTGAAAAAATACATTGTCTCACACATTTCGTGAAAAAAATAATTATGCTTGAGACGGAGGAAATACAAAGGAAATTGTACATAACTTTCATGAGGTGAGGTGGGGTTTTTTTAGAATAAAATGCATGGGCTCTTGACCGTTGATTATTTTCGTCTTTAAGAATTAAGAATGTGAGAATCGCGTAAAACGATTGATATAAAGAGCAAAGTCAGAAACTGTCGGGGTACGATGACCAAGTCACCAAGCCTACGATCAGCTGTTTTTAGTGCTATTTTAGACCTGCCCACACTGGTCTCCCCAAGGAAGGCGTGAACATGACATGAAAATTGCGGGTCGGTAGCTAGGTGGTTAAAGTGCCAACAAGTACCCTGTTCAGTTCCTCATCTTTGACCATCCGAACCATTACGTTACCCCTTACGACAAACAAAAGTTAATGGGAACCTATTGTAGCAAGGAATCCCAAAGAAGATAAATCACGTGGCTTACGCATGATGGCGCATTGAACCAATCGACAACAGAAAGTGATGGACATGCCCAAACAAGAAGAATATGCCTGACAGAGAGTGACCCACAGAACTAAAATGTTTCAATTACTTCTGATGTCAGCAATATTCATGTCAGAACCGGGCAAACCAGTGATTGATATTCAGAACAAAGCCTTAGGCTATCAAGTCAGCGAGCCTGAACATCCGATCCATTTAGTCCCATCTTACGACACTCGATGGTTAGGAGTCTGACACGACGGACAACATTGTTACACTACTGACCAACTCATAGTCATGGTCGGGACAAATCTCAGATTCCGACCTGTGTTAAAATACAAGACTTGGCGAATAACATGAGGGAGACAAGGATTAGAAACCGAAGACAAAGTAATACCGGCAGCAGTAGTCGATCCTCGTGTTGTCGTTGTAGACGCCGTCAGGGAGGGCACCACCTGCCATGTTTTTGTTATTATGGCGTTCGTCGTTCCAGTAGATCCACCCTTCCTGGAAATCTGAACAAATACAATCATGGGGAGTATAATCATCCGACTAGCCGTGCAACATGATGATAGGACGCCTATAGAGAGTAGGTAACGCTGCCTACTGCCCTGGTTATTCTCCTAGTAAGCTCTCCATGTTTTCGCCTTTAAATGTATCACTATATCTGTCAACATTATAACGATGTCTTGAGTTGTGAGCTCATGACCAAATGGAACATCACCTGACCGGTAGACTCTCCAGGTGGACAGACTCACCTTATGAACAGAATATCCTGGTGGACAGACTCACCTGACGGGTAGGCTCACCTGATGGACAGACGCTCCTGGTGGACAGACTCACCTGATGGACAGAAATCCTGTTGGACTTACTCACCTGATGGACAGAATATCCTGGTGGACAGACTCACCTGACGGGTAGGCTCACCTGATGGACAGACGCTCCTGGTGGACAGACTCACCTGATGGACAGAAATCCTGTTGGACTTACTCACCTGATGGACAGAATATCCTGGTGGACAGACTTACATGGTGGGCAGATGCGCCTTCTTGATAGGCTCATTTGGAGGACAGACTCACAACTTGGACAGACTCACATGAACAGGCATTTACATGAAGGCCGATGTACCTGACGGGCAGACTCCACTGATGAGTAGACTACTAGAAGGACAGACTCACCTGATGAGTAGACTCACCAGAAGGACAGGTTCCATACTTCATGACGCAGTAGTCCCCTGCCGGCCACATCATGTCAAACTCGGTGGCTTTCACATCCCCCTTCATGCAAAAGTCGAAGCGTATGTTGTCTCCAAATGACCCTTTAGGAAAACAATCAAGCTGAAACACGCTTCTAGATGTATTCCAACTTCATCAGGGAGTGTACTACTACTTTTTTAGTAATGTGGAATTACACCCTGTAATTGTGCACAGAAAGGTTATATTCACAAGTCGAAAAAAGGCCTCGAATCGCCCTCTTGATGCTCGTAAATAAGTACAGACATCCCGAAACCTCTAACGATCAAGTCTTATCGATCAAGTCATGTTTGTAAACAACCAGGGGCGGTAACTCTAATCACTTCCTGTTAAAACCTGTCCACCACAGCACTCATCATTTTACAAGCCTTACAGCCATTTACTGCCCCTATCACGAGTGTAATGAGTTATCTCCCCTACCCGCCAGGTGAAGCTGTCCAGACGCATAGTTGTGAGTCATTACGTCCTCGAAGTCCTCGTACCTCCACCCCTCGTGCCACGTGACCCGTCCCCCCGGGCATCCAGTCTTCGCCTTCATCAGCCCGTATGTACCCTGGGGCCACGTCACAGGGATTATCAGCTGGGGGTCTGATGAAAGTCAGATAATCAATAATATATTACATCAGCTAATAAAATATAATCAAATCTTATGTCCTTTGGAATGTAGGTACCTTGAGGTTCACTTTACCACTGAAGATCTCCTATTAGTTTCAGAACATATAGACTGCATGTCAGTACCTCAGCTGATAAAATAATCCACGTTTTGAAAAATTCAAAATACTACTCAAATACAGACAAACTTGGAATTGACATTGGATTTAACATTGAGAGGTGTAAGAGAAAACTTCTATCAAACAAGTTTGCCAAATTCTGAGCCCCTAAAGAAACAAATGATCGGTCGTCCATGTGTGTTCGTGGCCAAATGGCTGCTGCTCTATAAAATATGTGGGGCGTTGGGGAAGCCGAGTGGTTAAAAGACCGGGTTCCATTCCTCTCATGGGTACACAGAGTTGAGTCCCCCCCCCAAACTCGATTGTTATTCTCGACGATGTTATTAAGACTTGACTTAAACATTTCATATATTTATGGAGGCTTTAAAGGATGGTGACAATTCCTTGTGATAGGGTCTGAAGCATTATTATTGTTTTCAAGCATTTTTGGGGACAAATAATTTTCCCCCATAATATAACATATGGCTAAACATAACGTAACGTGACTTGCCATGACAAGACATGACATGGTATGACGTGACGTGACGGGACGGGACGCGACGTGACGTGACGTGACGCGACGCGACGCGACGTGACGCGACGTGACGTGACGTATGTTACAAAACGGTCTTTGTCATGTGTTAAAACACACAAAAAAACTTCACCCAGGACGTAATGACATCATGTAAAAAACAGAATGATAAACGTCAGGCGATTTGATTTGATTCTTAAAGACTTGCCCGTTGGTCCCTGTGCCATTTTGTAGGCAGCATAACCTTGCAGCGCCTTTGCAACGTTAGCTTGACGTCTACTGAGTGCCACCGTGTCCACGCCTTCCCCACACTGCTGGCCACTCATGAAGTCATCCATCTTCTGCCAGTATTTAGAGTTGAAGGCCGTGTCTATGGTAACGATTTTGACCCCGATGGGTTCGGGAAGTTCCGGAGTTCCTGCCTCGAGCGTGTACTGGAAATCCCCAAATTGCAGCTTGTAGCTGTCGCTGCCTTTGAACTTCTCAAAGTTGACAGCAAGGGAGGCCCCGTACCCCATGTAGGATCCTCCCAGGGAGATGTCAGCCCCTCCCTGAAAAGATGAAGAACCTGTAGGAACCTTTGGGGTTTTAGTTTCTTTTCTGTCTAACGCCGAACTCAGCAATATTCCAGCTATATGGAATATATCGATCTACCGAGCGAGCGAGCCTGACCACCCGATCCCAATAGTCGCCTCTTGCGACAAGTCTTTTATGGCAAGCATGGGTTGCTGAATACCTATTTTACCCTGTATCTTTACGGGTCTGGTGTTGGGATGAGTATCGATGTGGGATGACGGAGCCATACAGGAACGTTATAGGGGGTCGGTATACCACATATACACGTGTTACAGACACTGACAGCAATACATACATATATAACGAGTACAAAAAGGTTCGAGTTGGCTAATGTACATACTTTTCTCTATTTCTCTTCATTCCTTTCTGTCATATATTGTATTAAATGTGAATAATGGGAGACGGCTATCTAGGTTGTGCATCCAAACCGTTTAATAAATAAAAAAAACATTCCCAAAAAATCCCGCGTTTGTGAATTTTCATTCATTTTACCTGATGTGTTCAGAGTAGCATGAACCATTAAATACAATATCATTTGCAGCCAAATTGCACAATAAGAAAATAGGAATGTCAAATCATAAATAAATCAATATAAGTTCAATCGGTGAAGACGTCAGTTCACATTTGGCGTTGTTCTCAGTACCTACTGCGTCCACCATGTGCCCTCAAACTCTTTGGCGTCTTGTCGGCATGAATTGGAGAAGTCTTTGGGTCCGAGCTCGTGGATTCCTTGCCCATCAGCCCTGCAATACGTGTAGCGTTGCTGAAGCGTCTGGGGTTGCGGTTGATGCTGACGTACCTTTCTATCAAGGTCATCCCACAAATGTTCAATGGGGTTAAATTCTTACGCTTTGGGAGCAAGGCCATGGGAGAATTGTAACGTTCTCATTCTGTTGATTGTCAACCGTGTACCTTGCAGAGTGCTTCCTGGCAATATCTTACGAACGTATTTGCACAATCGAATTCGTCAATATAGCCATCTCAGCACTGGGCAAAAAGAGCGTCTTCTGGCTCGAAAACCACCCTCACACAAATGATTACGGATGAGCCAACTGAAACCAGATACTCCTCCACATGAGGTTTCAGTTGCTGCGACAGTCACGTTACGCAAATGAAGAACCCGGATGTTCCTGGGCGGCAGTGGTGATTCGAGATCTGCCAATTCAGGGCCGATCGCGCGTGGAATTGGTTTTCCCATATCTATCCAGTAAGACGAGACATGGTGCTCTGGTGAGCGTTGAGATGACATGTGACTGCAGAGACTCCCCAGCCCCCCGGCGTCCGATGACAATGTTTTGATTGATAACATTGAGTCGTGGCATGACGTTTTTGATCCATGGATCAAACAGAACTTATTAAATGTAAAATGTGCAAGATGGGTTGTTATATAGGCAGTATAATTGCTCACGATTATCAAATAGCACGTGGGCACTGCAAAGAGTTCTTTCTCCACGGCATTGTATCACTAATTTCACCCAGAAATATTTTACAGTTTACAATGGTCCATTTTGCCACGCTGAATCCTTCCTATGAACTTAAAGAGCATTTAAACGTAAAACTGTTACAATTTAATACTATTTCTGAAAAATATATGTAATTGCCTCTTTCCATATCACATATGCGGGTTTTTAAAGTTTATGTTTATACTAAAAAAAGGACAATATTACAATTTGAAATTGCTTTGCAAATTATTGCACTCATATTGCTAAAACCTTGTGATCACAGGAATCTGTATCCTCGCAATGATAAGATTGTCCCGAAAGCGACTCAAATCGTGAATACGCCTGCAGCTTGTCAAAACCCTGATAATTCATAACCCTCAGTCCATAGTCCTTCACGTTTGCTAAGTGGGGACAACAGGTCAAGTTGCGTCCCTTAGATGGATCAGGAACCAATGATCGTGGTTTCGAGCACCAGATTCGCCTTGAATATATTGTTTAATCTGTGACCACTATGGCCATGTTTGTGGTGAACGATCGAGCAGATTTATTTTGTTTTTTTCTCCCACTCCAAGCTGACAAGCTATAACTGATATACTGCTCAAAGCAGCGTTAAACTCAACTGACTCAACGATGTTCATTACAGTTCAGTACACCGATTTGGCTTCAATTCTGTAATTTAACGTTACATCGTACCGTGTCACCTACTGCCTCACCTGCTTCCTGACATGCTCGACAAACTGACTGAGAGTGCTCTTGTACCTCTTGATCTGCTTACTTCCGAGCTCCACCTCCATCGTCACGTGCTGGCAATACAAAATTGAAGAGTGAGTGAGTGAGTGAGTGAGTGAGTTGGGTTTTTAACGCCGCTTTTAACAGTATTCCAGTTATATCACGGCGTGTCAGCTTAATGTGGGAGGAAAGCCCGAAGTGATGCAGGTCTCAGACGTTTACCACTTCGGTGAAACCCTCGAGCACGGGTATGGTGCTGACAAACCTAGAAACATAATCGGGGCGAACCGGGATTCGAACCCACAATCATAGGTTTCTGGCGTGCCCAAGGGACGCAACTCTGCACAGCGAATCGCGGCGCCTTAGACGACTGGGCCACCCGTGCCCCCACAGGGGGAAAGAGTCAGAAAGTGATGAACCTGACACATCCAGGTGTTTGTTGTGCTTAGGTGTCACATAAATTAATATAAATGAGGCAAAGGCACAGGTATGGGGATACGATCTTCTACCCCATACACCGTATTCACCATATCGGGACCCTGAGACTACCACCTGTTTTAAATTTGAGAAAAACAACCCACTTGTTTCATGGTCAGAGGTTTAACCGGGACCAAGAATTGGCTACTGTTGTGGAGGGCTGGTTGACAGACCAGGATCTAACACATCAGGGGTAACTGACGTGGAGGAGCACTGGAGCAAGTGTACTGATCTGCAGTGCTACTGTGTTGAAAATAAATATAGCTTAGGACGAGTAAAAATTCAATGCATGCTATGCTTAAACCTGCCCCACTCGTCTATAAAGGCCATGTATTTAGTCTCACTGTACACAGACGACAGACTTACCGTACCCCACTGGTCTATGAAAGCCATGTATTTAGTCTCATTGTACACAGACGACAGACTTACCGTACCCCACTAGTCTATGAAGGCCATGTATTTAGTCTCACTGTACACAGACGACAGGCTTACCGTACCCCACTGGTCTATGAAAGCCATGTATTTAGTCTCATTGTACACAGACGACAGACTTACCGTACCCCACTTGTCTATGAAGGCCATGTATTTAGTCTCATTGTACACAGACGACAGACTTACCGTACCCCACTTGTCTATGAAGGCCAGGTATTTAGTCTCACTGTACACAGACGACAGACTTACCGTACCCCACTGGTCTATGAAAGCCATGTATTTAGTCTCATTGTACACAGACGACAGACTTACCGTACCCCACTTGTCTATGAAGGCCATGTATTTAGTCTCATTGTACACAGACGACAGACTTACCGTACCCCACTGGTCTATGAAAGCCATGTATTTAGTCTCATTGTTCACAGACGACAGACTTACCGTACCCCACTTGTCTATGAAGGCCAGGTATTTAGTCTCATTGTACACAGACGACAGACTTACCGTACCCCACTGGTCTATGAAGGCCGTGTATTTAGTCTCATTGTACACAGACGACAGATTTACCGTACCCCACTCGTCTATGAAGGCCGTGTATTTAGTCTCATTGTACACAGACGACAGACTTACCGTGACCAACTAGTCTATGAAGGCCATGTATTTAGTCTCATTGTTCACAGACGACAGACTTACCGTTCCCCACTTGTCTATGAAGGCCGTGTATTTAGTCTCATTGTTCACAGACGACAGATTTACCGTTCCCCACTGGTCTATGAAGGCCGTGTATTTAGTTTCATTCTTCACAGAGGACAGACTTACCGTAACCCACTAGTCTATGAAGGCCATGTATTTAGTCTCATTGTACACAGACGACAGACTTACCGTACCCCACTAGTCTATGAAGGCCATGTATTTAGTCTCACTGTACACAGACGACAGACTTACCGTACCCCACTGGTCTATGAAAGCCATGTATTTAGTCTCATTGTACACAGACGACAGACTTACCGTACCCCACTTGTCTATGAAGGCCATGTATTTAGTCTCATTGTACACAGACGACAGACTTACCGTACCCCACTGGTCTATGAAAGCCATGTATTTAGTCTCATTGTTCACAGACGACAGACTTACCGTACCCCACTTGTCTATGAAGGCCAGGTATTTAGTCTCATTGTACACAGACGACAGACTTACCGTACCCCACTGGTCTATGAAGGCCGTGTATTTAGTCTCATTGTACACAGACGACAGATTTACCGTACCCCACTCGTCTATGAAGGCCGTGTATTTAGTCTCATTGTACACAGACGACAGACTTACCGTGACCAACTAGTCTATGAAGGCCATGTATTTAGTCTCATTGTTCACAGACGACAGACTTACCGTTCCCCACTTGTCTATGAAGGCCGTGTATTTAGTCTCATTGTTCACAGACGACAGATTTACCGTTCCCCACTGGTCTATGAAGGCCGTGTATTTAGTTTCATTCTTCACAGAGGACAGACTTACCGTAACCCACTAGTCTATGAAGGCCATGTATTTAGTCTCATTGTACACAGACGACAGACTAACCGTGACCCACTAGTCTATGAAGGCCATGTATTTAGTCTCATTCTTCACAGAGGACAGACTTACCGTACCCCACTCGTCTATGAAGGACATGTATTTACTCTCATTGTACACAGACGACAGACTTACCGTAACCCACTAGTCTATGAAGGACGTGTATTTAGTCTCATTGTACACAGACGACAGACTTACCGTAACCCACTCGTCTATGAAGGACATGTATTTACTCTCATTGTACACAGACGACAGACTTACCGTAACCCACTAGTCTATGAAGGACGTGTATTTAGTCTCATTGTACACAGACGACAGACTTACCGTGCCCCACTGGTCTATGAAGGCCATGTATTTAGTCTCATTGTACACAGACGGCAGTCCACAACCGGCAGCAGCAAAGTTAGTACTGACGGAAAAGCCCAAGGACTGCACCAGCTCATCCGCGTATCTCGCCCGGCCGAGGTTACAGACGTTCTGGTTGTCCAGGAACACCTCGTGCTTCTGATTGGTCTGCTCTCGTGCATGCTGGTAACCTGACAACATATATGATTGGTTAATGTTAACTGACAACATCTATGATTGGTTAACTTAAGGGACAACATGTTACGATTAATTCATTCTGTTGACAGATTGTGGTCCACACTACAGAAACAGCATGTGGTCGTTTTCTTCACGTGAGATTCCATACAAGGTCATTTTGTTAGAGGCTTATTTGCGGTGTCTTCAGCCATAATGTGGTTATATTAATACGTGGCGTAAAATCCTACTCACCCATTCGGGTCAACGGAGCCATAAAAGGCAATGTTTTGTATGCAAAGCGCAAAAATGGATTGCACATTTCATTTAAGGACGGGGGCACGGATGAAGTTTAAGGCTCCCTTGGGCACGTCAGAAACCTATGATTGTGGGTTCGAATCCCGGTTCGCACGGTTATGTTTCTAGGTTTGTCAGCACCATACCCGTGCTCGTGGGTTTCACCGAAGAGGTAAACGTCTGAGACCTGCATCACTTCGGGCTTTCCTCCCACATTCAGCTGACACGCAGCGATATAACTGGAACACTGTTAAAAGCGGCGTCAAACCCAACTCACTCGTTTAATCTACTGACATCATGACATCCCTGAAGGGAAACTTACGTCCACTGAGACTGAAGGCAAACTTAGCCACAGCGGCGTTCACTCCACCTGAAACATAATCGTTGGCATCACATTCTACTCATGAGCACTTCTGTTACCTGATCATATATGTATGTTGAACTGACGACACGGGCTGTGATTCTTATTGGAGACAATATTTGTCAGGCTTACTGATCAGGGGTCTGAGTCTTGTCCAGTATTAGATCTTCCAGACGTCCTGGCCAGGGATCGGAGTCTTGTCCAGCCTTAGACCTCCCAAACTTCCTGATCAGGGGTCGGAGTCTTAGTCTTAGATCTCACATATTTCCTGATCAGAGATCGCAGTCTTGTCCAGTCTCAGATCTCCCAGGCCTCCTGATCAGAGGTTGGAGTCTTGTCCTGTCCTGGATGTCAAAGACTTCCTGGTGAGAGGTCGGAGCCCAGACCAGATTTCACGATCTTAGCCGTGACCAGTTCATTGCCTTACGTGCTGCTTAAGAGATACTATTACACATAGTTTAGACTTACATGAAGTCCAATGATTGCCCTAATAAACGTATTAATGCATATGTATGTAAGTAAGGGATGATTAACTGGAGCAAGACGTTCACCTACCAGAAGACTTAACGTCTAGACCTAGTTTATCCTGGTACGATTTGCTGCCGTAGAACACGTGATTCTCCTGGATGTGCACGCAACTGTGTCGCTTCTCTACCACCACTTCCGGAGGGTTGTTGCCAGGGGCGATGTTGAATACCTTGCGTGTGTACAGGAGCCACAGCTTTTATATACCGATTTGAGTGAACACCTTCTTAATTAATGTTTTGTTAAATGTCCAGATTGTTCAGATAAATCCGATATCGAAAAGTTTCGTTTGATATTTCAACAATTCCAGTGTTTTTTTTCACTTTTGCGAAAAACGTTTTTAAGCTATATCGGAGAAAACACATTTTCTAATTCTATTTTATTTGTTAATCCATGTATATACGTCCTCTCGTAATTCTCCCATGTATGATTCTATACGTTTTATCTTACATATATTTCTGAGACGCTGATAAGTTTTTGTCTGTCTGTCAGATACCTTCCGTGTGTAGAGAAGCCCCGGGTCGACTCCCCCCAGGGTGCTGTCCCCTCCGTCTGGGTTGGCTGTCAGCAGGTTGTACCCCACGCCCACAAATTCCACTCCTGGCGAACTTGCCGACACGCCCACCACCAACAGTGACGTCAGCAGTGATATCATCATGACTACACCGTCACTGGAGAGAAATAATTCTGAATAACTTACATGGACTTAGTCATCAATACTGGAAGTGATGTCACAGACACCAAGATGTCACCGGAAGTGACATCAAGAGCCGATAATATGCATTCCTATGGAAACAGATATTGTTTAAAATATATATCACACTCTCCGAAATAATATAAACAACTACTCTGTCCTGGGCCCACTTGCACAAAGCGATCTTAGCGCTAAGATGACCATAACTCCCATACTCTAACATAGGCTTACCATAGTCTTACAACTGAGATCGCTTTGTGCAAGTGCGTCCTGGATAACAAAATTATACAATGGATTGAATTTGTTTGACGATAATAACAAAAGTAACTGCCTAACGATTCCAATTTAGGTAAAGGCTAAAATAACAGAGGAAATATCAAAGAAACAAAACAAATGACCCTTTGCTTTAACGCACAGTTAGTTTTGCACATATTTAGATCAAGATAATTTTTGTAGAAATGGTGTATTGGGTCACCTATGGCATACTGTAAAGGACATCATTGCGATCTCAACCTTTGGAAACAAGTCAAATATGCCCAAAGTGCGAGACTGCGAGATTGCGAGAATGTCCCTTAAATATTCCGTAGTTATCCTGTGTACATTACCTTCTTTCCAAAGCAGCTGAAAATTTGACCAGTCGTATTCTCCCGTACTGCGCAGTGGGACCCACCTGACATTGGTGTGGTAGTCAGACAAGAGTCTTATCTGGAGATTACATTCTATCTGCCCAGATCATGCATGATAAGGCTGTCTAAACGTATGACCTGATTCTTACTACATATCTGGGAATACACCGATGGAGACCTGGATTGTCTTTGTTATTTTATGCACTATGCACTATGCACTATGCACTATGCACTATCCAGCTATATAATGACGCATGGTAAACTAGAGACTGGGTCAGACACACAAGTGCTTGATTCAGCAACTCCAAGCAAGCACACCATTGTTGAATCAATGTCAAATTCAGCGTTAAAATGACATTGCTTTTTCGCTGGATTTGAAAGTTGAAATGATGTGAGTGAGTGAGTGAGTGAGTGAGTTGGGTTTTAACGCCGCTTTTAACAGTATTCCAGTTATATCACGGCGTGTCAGCTTAATGTGGGAAGAAAGCCCGAAGTGATGCAGGTCTCAGACGTTTACCACTTCGGTGAAACCCACGAGCACGGGTATGGTGCTGACAAACCTAGAAACATAATTGGGGCGAACCGGGATTCGAACCCACAATCATAGGTTTCTGGCGTGCCTAAGGGACGCAATTCTGCACAGCGAATCGCAGCGCCTTAGACGACTGGGCCACCCGTGCCCCCTGAAATGATGTGGAAATGTCGACGTTGAATCAACATCAGATATCAAAGCTGAAACTCTGAATTTTGGTTGGGTATTGGTTTGATATTGGTTACACTGATACCTACAGCTCTACAGCACTGTATAGAATCAGGTCCAATGGAGTCCGAGTTGCACCTTCCTAGATACTAGAGGACGCTGGCTGAGGTCCAGGGTTCATGCCAATTTCTCCACATTGAAGACCCGTTGTGTATGTGATATATTTAAGGTGAAATATATTTAAGGTGAGTCCAATATGTCACTTTTGGTCTGTCAGATGTCTACACGGCCACCTTTGTTTTGAAAGAGTGAGTGAGTGAGTGAGAGAGTAGTGTTTAACTTTTCTTTTAGCAATTTTCCAGCAATATCAGGGCTGGGGGCACCAGAAATGTGCTTCACACATTGAACCCATGTGGGGAATCGAACCCGGGTGTTCTGCGTTGCGAGTGAACACTTTAACCACTAGGCTACCCGACCGCCCCTGGAGGTGGAAGAGGTGTGGAGGAGGGAGGAGGTAGAGGAGGAGGTAGAAGAGGTGGAGGTTAGGGAGGAGGAGGAAGTGTATGATTAAGTACCGAAGTCCTCATGAACTCTGGTTTGAAGTGATTTTGAGTATCGAAAATGTTCTACGATATGTATTTCTGAAATGTTTATTATCTTATGGTCCAAAAGCGTTTGTTATCATGTATTAGCTATATCAGATTTATATACCCTGTTTCTATCAGCTCAGCGAAGTAGAATCCGATGTGACACCAGATGTATGTCTAGGGCTCTTTTTGTTTAGTCACAAATTAGTCAGATTTAGAGAAAACCTGTAGAGGTGATGGGAAAAGAAGTGTTTGCAGTCGACGTTGGTGGCCTTTCTACACTCCTGAGAGTTTAAATAATACATGAACAGTATCCTTATCACAAAGTGCAGAGAATTGTCATCATGCCTACAGAATACGAAAACATTCTGGAATTTGGTCTCATACAAAAGTCCTTCACACAACCAGTTATTCATCCTGAATTTCTGTGCTTATTTCGAATGTTTAATGGATAAAGAAATTGAAAACAATCAGTCAGGTTAAAAAACACATTGCCTGGGCAAAAAACAAATGCCTTGTGGTTGTGCATATAATTTACTCAGTAGAATCCCTGAATATTCAATACCATTGAAGAGTATGACGAGATTGTGGATATTTTTGAAATTCCAATACTAGTGATAGAAATCGAAATCACAACGACATGTTGGCTCTATACTGAGTCAATGGATGTTCAATCCTATTACCCATACAGTTACTTTGTTTGTAGAGATGAAAGCACTTCCTGGAGAGACTTAATTCATCTGTTGATACACCAAATTACTCATTACTCAAAGTGTCACCCATTGTCCAGTACGACGGAAAGGTTCATGACTGATTAACGATAAAGCTGCTTGAAACCTGATCAATGAGAATGTAGGGATTATGGTACAAAATATAATATACACAAAAATGTTCAGCACACCCCTATTTCATAACCATGGCAAATGGCAAAAATCATTGCATGGGATGACTGACCACAGGAGCTGGGCGATACCAATGTCATCGGATAGAACAAACATTTCACAACAAATAAAGGAGATATTGGTGAGTTGTGTTGAAATTTACTGACAGAAACATCTTGGTAACACAGGTACTGAGTCTGACCTTAGACAATACCTCAAAAAAATATGGAGCTGCAGGATAAGTAAACGAGTTACGTTTGATGATTCATGTGAAAATGTTCCTTAAAGTCTCAACTTGACATGACACGTGAAACAGATCAGTAGCGTCTATAACCGCCTCGTGCCTGGATGACCCGTTCCACCCTACGTCTCATGACGCCAGTAGGACGTTGGACCTGTTCGTGGGTCTACAACAACCACTCCTGATGAAAAGATGCGGGTTTTATACGTTTTGCATCTATGTGAAACTCAGGATCTTCAGTATGGAGCTGACAAACCAAGTAGCTCAATGACCACAAAACATGATTGAAGATCTATATGATCTGCATCATACTTAAAATATTGACCTTGAAACCACCTTGAATATTTGTCAGAAAGTATCATGCAGAAAATGACAGCATGTAGAATGCTGAATCAGCTAATCAATTCAGCATTACATTGTGTAAAGATAATACATTTGAAATGTGTAGTATCAAGGAAGTGTTCAGTCTCATCTATAATCACTTCTGAGTCCATTTCTGATGGATGACACGTCAGATTATCATTTTTTGATCGAATACCATGACACTCATACATGTAGTGACTTAATGTGATGATTATAGAAACTACAAGATGCAGTTGGTATATTGAAACTGTGAATAAAAGGTTATGGATGTTGACCAAGCACTTCTAAATAATCTTGCTAAGGATGTATACGAGATACACAACTGAAAATCCAGACCCAGTCTGATAAGGTACAGCGGGAGACTGGACGACCATCTGACACAGATAAGAAGGGAAATGTTGAACTTCGATTATGAACTTATCTCCATATTACCCGATATTGGATAAGGGTATTTGGTTTTGAAGGCTAAATGTTTGAAAGCACTTGATATCCTTAAGGCGGCATCAAATGCTAAATAGGGTGGAGACCAACAAACTCGGTTACATCTCTATAGAACATTGATTCGATCTAAACTTGATTACGGCTGTTTCAGACATGGTTCAGCCCGTAAATCGTACATTAACCATTCACCATCAAGGTCTAAAGTTGTGTCTGGGGGCATTTAGAACTTCCCCTGTTGAAAGTTTATATGTTGAAGCTAATGAAACTTGTCTTGATATCAGAAGGATAAAACTGGATCTGCAATACGTTACAAAACTCCATTTGAATCCCTCCAATCTGGTGTTTAACATTGTTTTTAATCCCCCTTATCAGACTTTGTATGATAAGAAACCAAGCTCAATTCCTCAACTTGGTATCCGTATTCAACAGCAGATTACAGATGCGGATCTAAACACTTCCCCAATTGCAACTTATATACTACCTGAATTGCCACCATGGCAGTCAATACAGCCTAATGTCAATTTTGAGTTAACGAACTTATTTTTACAGCAGAGGCTAAGGCTATACTGTTAGCCTGGCAACTTATTGAATGTTCAAAAGGAACAGCTTTATCATTTTGTCTGATAGTTTATCCTGTCTGATAGGACATCAACGACCGTAAAACTGACCAATCCCTTTTTAGTTGAAATTTTGAAATGATATGAATATATAGATGATTTGTTAAAAGTCACAATTGTTTTTCATGAAAATGCCATGCCATGAATCGAACCTAAAAATTCACATATCGTGTTAGGCAAGTGATGAAAAGTTTTATATGTTATGACTCCTGTTGGTCCATCCTGCACGTGGTGTTCCTCTCGCACGTTTTGATCGAATTCCTTGTATACTGCGAGACATTGCATTGTTTCACTACAAAGTGTCTCAGTGTGATTCACATTTTCTATCAAATCTGTTCAGCTCAGGTTTCATAGCTCTTCTCTCACATTAAGCTGGTATGTTATTATTGGCATTAATAAATGATGTCAATATAAGGTTGAGATAAGTCAATAAAAGTTTGGAAGTAGTAGCATTCTAACCTGAATACATAAACATTATCATTATAAAGTGCAGAGTGCGGATAATTGTTATCATGCCTACAGAAGACAAAAACATTCAAGAATTTAATCTCGGACACAATCTTTCACCGCTTGAACTTTTAAACAATCAGTCAGGTCTGCAAAACATACTGAATCTGCGAAGACGTGCCTTAGGGAGATGTTTATATATTAGTCCATGGAGTCCCTGAACAGTCAAAACCATTGAACGTTTATTTGGGAGTGGGCGCAGTTGCGAATTGTCAGATTATGACGACATTGGGATAGTCTTCCGAATTCAGCACCATAGATGGAAATCGAAAACACAAGGACCTGTTGGTTCTGTAATAATTACTGGATTTCGAAGGATCTGCATATACAATTTTGGTTTTGGTAGAAACATGACTTGAATTTTAGTATTGATAACCTCATATTCATTGAATTAAATCTATGTGTACCTCTTTACAGAATATGTCTGAAAAACTAAAGGATAAATGAACTTAATAGATATATTTTCCGATCAACTAGATTTCTGCTATGAATACCTTGTCAGCTTTGAATGAGTGAGTGAGTTGGGCTTATCGCCGCTTTTAACAGTATTCCAGTTATATCACGGCGTGTCAGCTTAATGTGGGAGGAAAGCCCGAAGTGATGCAGGTCTCAGACGTTTCCCACTTCGGTGAAACCCACGAGCACGTGTATGGTGCTGACAAACCTAGAAACATAATCGGGGCGAACCGGGATTCGTACCCACAATCATAGGTTTCTGGCGTGCCCAAGGGACGCAACTCTGCACAGCGAATTGCGGCGCCTTAGACGACTGGGCCACCCGTGCCCCCCGTCAGCTTTGAAACATTAAATGACATTGAACTTCCTAACCAACACCAGAACTATTCATATCTCAGTGAAGAACAGAATTTTGGGAAAGATTATGCATTTGCTCAACAACTGTTCAAAACATTTCACATTTAATCGTAAAATTTGAATTTGAATGATGAATTTATAAAACGGTATGTTTTCGGAAGAAACACTGATCTTGTGTCACATTATGGAAACGTTTCGATAAATGTGGTAAAATTATCATAATCTGGAGCTCTTTCACTATTTAAAATCACCAGGGTTTTCAGTTATGTTCTCTTCAACCTCCACGTGGGGAGTGGTGAGTGCTGGTAGCGCACATCGCTCTTCCCCCGTATGGACCAAGTTTAGAATGTGTCCTCAGCACCCGATTAGAAGCGACTAAATTGGGCAACCTATTTGCCGTTGGTTGCGCCCCTATGTCAGTGGAGGAAGGTAGTCTCGTGGTTGTGGGCACTGGTTCCAATATGCCAATTTGACCCTAACTTCACCTTAATTTGTGGTAGAATGGGCCTGGTTCTATCAATGGGCGGGTCACGCCAAGCACTGTGCCTTACAATTGAATTGCACAAATTTGTCAAATTATTAATATGTCAACAGTTTCAATTGTTTGATAGGCATTATTTAGAAGTTGACGGATGACAAAGTGGACACAATGTATGGATAACAACTTCTTTAATACTGTTAAAAGCGACATTTCGGTATAGATCCTTATACCGTTGTCAAGCAAGACTGAATGAAGAACATTGTACAGAATATATCATGGTTGGAGGTAACAGTAACAATTGCATACATGAGAAGGATAACATGAGTAAGTAAGTACAACAGAAGGATAATACTGTCACAACACGATGGACAGATAACACATAGGTTAAAGCCAATGGGACATGAAGCCAATTAAACAGGATAAGTTTGCATAGGTGTGGCGATTATTGCTTAATGAGTCTCATTGGCGTATGGGATGAAATAGCCTTCACCTCTGTTGATTGTTGGCTTGTGGCGGCGAATGTGGGCTGCTTCTGTAAGTTTTATTTTAGTGAAATCATGGAGGTTGTTGGAGAGGATTTGGACATTGTTCCAGTTGATGTTGTGATTAGGACAGTTGCTGATATGGTCCAAGATGGCTGATTTACTGTCTGATATAATGGTTGGGGTTTTGTGCTCTTTGATTCTGGTGTTGATGGGGCGGGATGTTTCACCTACGTAAGATTGTCCACAGATGCAGTCAGTTTTATAAACTACACCTTTAGGCTCTTGGAGTTTGGTTGTGTGTCTGCAAAATAAAAATATTTCACCCGCCACCCAACTGTCCACAATTTTAATAAATTCAAAATTTTACATGCAAAACTTGGCAAATCTATGTTTCTTAAATAAAATCCCGAAGACCAATTTCTAAGGTTTGGAATATGGTGCAATGGATAACAGGTAAAGTTTCCAAATCTGAAGTTCACGATCTTAAGGAGGGTGACACCTTATCAACCAATAAATCAGATATAGCAAATGCATTAGGAGAAACATATATCCTCATCAACTTTTACATCAATTTCAGAATTATTCAGGCAATAAAAATACTTCGTTTGAGCATCCAGTTTTACGTGCCATAATTGAATTACACAATAATCTTGGGACTGGCCGATACGATATCATCTTTTGTTGGTTGCCCAGCCATGGGATCGTTAGTTACACTTTAGCTGTTGCTGCTATGGCAGCACTCAACACATCTGCGACATCAATTCTTATACCCAACAGTGACTATAAACCTGTAATAGGTGTTACATCAGAGATCTAATGTACAAGAAGTGGGACAACTAATGGATATAAATAAATAACATGCAATGAAACCAAATGTCGGAAACACCAGCTTCGGTTGTCAGTTAAGATTTGAAGAGGTCATGGCTTACATTACGTACAATCGCCAGCCGCTGAAGGGATGGTGTAAATCCTGCTGGGGTCCATGCAGGTAGCAAAGGTACTGTAAGTCACCATTGTCCCTAGTATGGTGATCGACCTTCAGTTGCTGGCGATGTACAGCCCTTTTTTATACTGTATTGCTAGCTATAGTGATATATATGAATGGTTGTATGCTAGTTTTAAGTATTAATCTAAGATATTAAGTCTAAATAAATGCATTATTAATGCATACCATTTTTTCTTTACGATATGGCTGAAATATTGCCGATGTGACGTTAAATATTAACTCACTCACTCATTCCTCTTTAGACTCCTCTTTTGGACTAAAAGCTAGATAGTTTTACTGATCCAGATGGGAATTATGCATATTTTCCAGAATGTGATCTATTCTAAATAAATCTTTTGATATCTCTCTGAACAAATCCTCAGGCAAAAAGTAATTTCGTGCATTAATATGCCAAAAAGATATTATATTTTTCTTTTTCGAAACATTGATATTTTACCTAAGAATGGGACTCAAAATAATACACATTCATAAAGTCTTGCGACTTGCCAAGAACGTGTATTAAACCCAATATCTTTCTGTCATTTAAAATGACAACAGGCACAGACAACGCTTCACACGTTCTGTATAAACTTGTCTGTAGTTGCTTTTGTAGTAACTTTGCAAATAAGTTGAAAAATGAAATATGTTGATTGTGTGGCTAAGTCGGATAGATTGTTGCAATACACCTCGCAGTCTAAGTTTAAACAGTGAAATATCATTTTGAGTGTGTCCAGCAAACCAGTTCCTGTGGGATTTTGTATTTTAAAGCATGCTTAAAGACGCATTTATTCTTTCTATTTCAATGTGTTAAAACGGATCTGCAGATTATTCTCTCTTGGTCTTATATACCGATATCGTCTCTGTAGAGCTTGTAGAGCAGGCGTATCAAAGCATACCAGCAGAGAGCAACCAAACTTTGGAATTTGGTCACACTTTAAACAGAAATATCCACACAAATTACAAACAAGACACAATCCCCATAAAGTTTGCACCGTAGCGATAAGAATCTGGCACATTAAACACGCCATGTGTTACCATCTCTGGGAAACCCCCACAGTGCATGCATGTACCCAATGTCGCGAATCTTCAAAATGGCCAAGACATAACTAACATCTGAAGTTTGTTTGTTGTTAAACGTTGCACTCAGCAATATTCCAGCTATATGACAACAGTCTGTAAATAATCAAGTCTAGACCAGACAATCCAGCGATTGACATCATGAGCATCGATCCACACAATTGACATGCATCAACCAAGTCAGCAAGCCTGACCACCCGATCCCGTTAGTCGCCTCTTACATCAAGCATTGCCTGAACAAAGGGTGGTATGAAGTGAGTTTATCCTTCAGGTGCATGGTCTGATGGTTGTCACAAAGAGAACAAAAAAATATATATTTGCGGTTGCAGTTTAATAAACATATCAACAAAATAGGTTGAGGCAAAGTTACATTGATTAGAAACAGTTTTTTAAGCCAGATATTGCAAATCATTCCCTGTGATAACAGGATGCCACATCTGTTAGAATAAAACTCAGTCATGAGTGTCACATTGCAACACATTCCCCTCTGAACCAAGTAGGAGGGGTTTGTCAACAATGACAAGGCGTATGACGGAACAACCTCACTGTTCATATCATGGTCCTCGCCCATCACATATTCCTCATGATTCATAAACATTCAAAATAACACATGGAAACAAGTGCTGACCTGACGATATGACACCATGTCCATCTTGAAACAATTTTTTTACTATTCTTGACTAAAAGCGAGTGAGTATGGTTTTACGCCGCTTTTAGCAATATCACAGCGGGGGACACCAGAAATGGGCTTCACACATTGGACCCATGTTAGGAATCGAACCCAGGTCTTCAGCGTGACAAGCAAACACTTTAATCACTTGGCTACCCGACCGCCCCTGAGGAAAAGCAACTTATGACATAACTGCAGTGAAATGACGTATTACCTAGATGAAAATATAAACTTCAGTGTCTCTGTAACCATCTACCCCATCACCCTGGAAGTAATGTGCTGAGTCAGTGAATATTCAGGATTGAAGAAGGGCATATCGGCAAGTTCTCAAGGACAAATGAACACCTGAATATCAGGAAATTATCCAGCTTGCGGGTCTAGGATTTATAGGTCATACATTGTTCATTAATCAAATCCTTGTCTTGCTTATAGGTGTCATGCTTATGCTTACAGGTGTCATTATTGAAATGTCTTTTCATTCATAGACCTTGAAAACAATAACAAAATATACATCATAATTCCTTATTGACCTAAATGTCAAGATGATCTTCTAATAGGATTTTTAGAGATATTCATGTCAACCTTTTCTGAAACTGCTTCGAAAACAGATAATATAGCGCAATAACAAACTTTGCAGGGTTTTTTTAAGATGTCATATTGTTTTTCTTGCTTCAACCTCAAATCCAACAATAAAAAGTTTGATGCAGGATAAAGTAATGAAAATGGCCTAGGCATCGGTGAGGTCATTGGGCGGAGGTGTCTTTATGTGTCACAGCTCCCTTCTGTACCAAGTCCGGGACTTCAACTGCTAGCCACGGTCCAAGCTGAAACAAATCAATCAGGCTTCACTAGCACAAAATGCAACACACAAACATTTATGACTAGCTATGCTTAACCAACACTATGTACAAGTCACATCTAACAGCATTCATCACTTTCTACACCTGACTGACACCTGTTCTATGGCATGGGCTATCCCTGACACCTGTCACATGGCTGTCACACTTACCCCTAGTGCCATGGCGTGGGCTATCCCTAACACCTGTCACACTTACCCCTAGTGCCATGGCGTGGGCTATCCCTGACACCTGTCACATGGCTGTCACACTGACCCCTAGTGCCATGGCGTGGGCTATCCCTAACACCTGTCACACTGACCCCTAGTGCCACGGCGTGGGCTATCCCTAACACCTGTCACATGGCTGTCACACTTACCCCTAATGCCACGGCGTGGGCTATCCCTGACACCTGTCACATGGCTGTCACACTTACCCCTAATGCGAAGGCGTGGGCTATCCCTAACACCTGTCACATGGCTGTCACACTTACCCCTAGTGCCATGGTGTGGGCTATCCCTGACACCTGTCACATGGCTGTCGCACTTACCTCTAGTGCCATGATGTGGGCTATCCCTGACACCTGTCACACTGACCCCTTGTGCCATGATGTGGGCTATCCCTAACACCTGTCACACTGACCCCTAGTGCCACGGCGTGGGCTATCCCTAACACCTGTCACATGGCTGTCACACTGACCCCTAGTGCCATGGCGTGGGCTATCCCTAACACCTGTCACACTGACCCCTAGTGCCACGGCGTGGGCTATCCCTAACACCTGTCACATTGCTGTCACACTTACCCCTAGTGCCATGGTGTGGGCTATCCCTAACACCTGTCACATGGCTGTCACACTTACCCCTAGTGCCATGGCGTGGGCTATCCCTGACACCTGTCACATGGCTGTCACACTTACCCCTAGTGCCATGGCGTGGGCTATCCCTAACACCTGTCACATGGCTGTCACACTTACCCCTAGTGACATGGTGTGGGCTATCCCTAACACCTGTCACATGGCTGTCACATGGCTGTCACACTTACCCCTAGTGCCATGGCGTGGGCTATCCCTAACACCTGTCACATGGCTGTCACATGGCTGTCACACTTACCCCTAGTGCCATGGTGTGGGCTATCCCTAACACCTGTCACATGGCTGTCACACTTACCCCTTGTGCCATGATGTGGGCTATCCCTAACACCTGTCACACTGACCCCTAGTGCCACAGCGTGGGCTATCCCTAACACCTGTCACATGGCTGTCATCCTTACCCCTAGCGCCATGGCGTGGGCTATCCCTAACACCTGTCACATGGCTGTCACACTGACCCCTAGTGCCATGGCGTGGACTATCCCTAACACCTGTCACATGGCTGTCACACTTACCCCTAGTGCCACAGCGTGGGCTTTCCCTAACACCTGTCACATGGCTGTCACACTGACCCCTAGTGCCACGGCATGGACTATCCCTGACACCTGCCACATGGCTGTCACACTTACCCCTAGTGCCATGGTGTGGGCTATCCCTGACACCTATCACATGGCTGTCACACTGACCCCTAGTGCCATGGCGTGAGCTATCCCTAACACCTGTCACATGGCTGTCACACTTACCTCTAGTGCCATGGCGTGAGCTATCCCTAACACCTGTCACATAGCTGTCACATGTTTGTCACACTGACCCCTAGTGCCATGGCATGAGCTATCCCCGTGAGCTATCCCTGACACCTGTCACATGGCTGTCACACTTACCCCTAGTGCCATGGCGTGGGCTATCCCTGACACCTGTCACATGGCTGTCACACTTACCCCTAGTGCCATGGCGTTGGCTATGCCTGACACCTGTCACATGGCTGTCACATGGCTGTCACACTTACCCCTAGTGCCATGGCGTGGGCTATCCCTGACACCTGTCACATGGCAGTCACACTTACCCCTAGTGCCATGGCGTGGGCTATCCCCGTGAGCTATCCATGACACCTGTCACATGGCTGTCACACTTACCCCTAGTGCCATGGCGTGGGCTGTCACATGGCTGTCACACTTACCCCTAGTGCCATGCGTGGACTATCCCTGACACCTATCACATGGCTGTCACGCTTACCCCTAGTGCCATGGCGTGGGCTATCCCTCACACCTATCACATGGCTGTCACACTTACCCCTAGTGCCATGGCGTGGGCTATCCCAAACTTCGGTACATTTCTGGCCCACAGTGGTTTAAAGTGATCCGTCAAGCAGATTTTACCTCCCCTGTGAATTATACAAAATCTTTATTCGAAACATTTGAGGAAGTCAGTTTTCATGTCTTCATTCTCTTGCCATGGTAGCATACACACACATTATTAGCAATGGATAAGATGTTGCTATGACTACATGTAATTGTTTATGAGATTAAGGCGCAATATTTTGCCATGACCATGAAAACAACAAATATCATGTTGCTATAGTAATCTTTCACTGACAAAGGAGTGAGTGAGTGAGTGAGTGAGTGAGTTTGATTTTACGCCGCTTTTAGCAATATTCCAGCAATATCACGGCGGGGGACACCAGAACACTGACAAAGGAGATAAATTATCATGGTTTCGAGTACATGTTTTACTGACAAGTGACATGTTGCTAGGGTTACCTGTACATCTTGGCTGTCTTGCCATCAAGTTCTGGCAGTGCTATTTCTGGCGCCGTTGTTGGGTAAGTCACAGGAATCTGGAAGTTGTTCAAAAATAATAATAAAGAATTGACTTCACATTTTCTTTTTCATTTATGGGGGTATAAACAAACAAAAAACAGTAGGCACTGTGTAAATCCGGTCTGCAAAAGATATTTAAAAGGGGCATTAATCTCTGGCTTCTTTCTGGCTGTCAAACTCTGCTCGCTAGGGCTCACTAACTTCTGTAAGTCGATTTGCTCGCTAATGCAACTGAGCGTGACAAGAGACTATGTCTATACGCATTTCTGAACACTGTTGGTTAACCGTGATCTGTGGGTACAGGTTTACAGTTTGTTTGTTGTTTAATGCCGCACTCAGCGATATTCCAGCTATATGACAGCGTTCTGTAAATAATCAAGTCTTGACCAGACAATCCAGAGATTGACATCATGAGCATCAATCCCTGCAATTGGGATATGATGACATGCATCAACCAAGTCAGCGAGTCTGACAACCCGATCCCATTAGTCGCCTTTTACGACAAGCATGCAACTAATGGTGTATATGAAACCAATGATGGTGTATATGAAACCAATGATGGTGTATATGAAACCAATGATGGTGTATATGAAACCAATGATGGTGTATATGCAACCAATGATGGTGTATATGAAACCAATGATGGTGTTTATGAAACCAATGATGGTGTATATGAAACCAATGATGGTGTATATGAAACTAATGATGGTGTATATGCAACTAATGATGGTGTATATGAAACCAATGATGGTGTATATGAAACCAATGATGGTGTATATGCAACCAATGATCTTGCAAATGAAACCAATGATGGTGTATATGAAACCAATGATGGTGTATATGAAACCAATGATGGTGTATATGAAACCAATGATGGTGTATATGAAACCAATGATCTTGTATATGAAACCAATGATGGTGTTTATGCAACCAATGATCTTGCATATGAAACCAATGATGGTGTATATGAAACCAATGATGGTGTATATGCAACCAATGATCTTGTATATGAAACCAATGATGGTGTATATGAAACTAATGATGGTGTATATGAAACTAATGATGGTGTATATGCAACTAATGATGGTGTATATGAAACCAATGATGGTGTATATGAAACCAATGATGGTGTATATGAAACCAATGATGGTGTATATGCAACCAATGATCTTGTATATGAAACCAATGATCTTGTATATGAAACCAATGATGGTGTATATGCAACCAATCATGGTGTATATGCAACTAATGATGGTGTATATGCAACTAATGATGGTGTATATGCAACTAATGATGGTGTATATGAAACCAATGATGGTGTATATGCAACCAATGATGGTGTATATGCAACCAATGATGGTGTATATGCAACTAATGATGGTGTATATGCAACCAATGATGGTGTATATGCAACCAATGATGGTGTATATGAAACCAATGATGGTGTATATGAAACTAATGATGGTGTATATGCAACCAATGATGGTGTATATGAAACCAATGATGGTGTATATGCAACTAATGATGGTGTATATGCAACCAATGATGGTGTATATGAAACCAATGATGGTGTATATGAAACTAATGATGGTGTATATGCAACCAATGATGGTGTATATGCAACTAATGAGTGAGTGAGTGAGTTGGGTTTAACGCTGCTTTTAACAGTATTCCAGTTATATCACGACGTGTCAGCTTAATGTGGGAGGATAGCCCGAAGTGATGCAGGTCTAAGACGTTTACCACTTCGGTGAAACCCACAAGCACGGGTATGGTGCTGACAAACCTAGAAACATAATCGGGGCGAACTGGGATTCGAACCCACAATCATAGGTTTCTGGCGTGCCCAAGGGACGCAACCCCGCACAGCGAATCGCGGCGCCTTAGACGACTGGGCCACCCGTGCCCCCTGCAACTAATGATGGTGTATATGAAACCAATGATGGTGTATATGAAACCAATGATGGTGTATATGAAACCAATGATGGTGTATATGCAAGGAACAGGGAACCATGGGTAAGTCTTCCATCATACATGTGAGATGGGTGTGTCCAAGGAGGCAGCCACTGCAAACGACTTTTGGCTATTGATACTAATTTTATATACAAATATATGTTAGGCCAGATTTCTTCTCTTTTTTTTTTAATGGTATATGGATTTTTGGACCAAACATTCAGGTTGGTAGGTCAAAGAATTACTAAAACGTTAAGCAGGTTTGTTTGTTTGTTGTTTAACGCTGCAATCAGCAATATTCCAGCTATATGACAGCGGTCTGTAAATAATCAAGTCTGGACCAGACAATCAAGTGATTGACATCATGAGTGAGTGAGTGAGTGAGTGAGGTTTTACGCCGCTTTTAGCAATATTCCAGCAATATCACGGCGTGGGACACCAGAAATGGGCTTCACACATTGTACCCATGTCAGGAATCGAACCTGGGTCTTCGGCGTGACGAGCTGAGATTGACATCATGAACGTTGATGCATGGAAATGGGATACGATGACATGCATCAACCACGTCAGCGGGTCAACAGGTAGCGAAAACATGGGAGCAGGAGAACTAGGGAAGCATCAAGTTTAGAATCATCTCCTTCCCATGATAGACACAGATCTGTTGCTATTCTTCACAATTCATGTTTTGAAGTTCAATAATAAAAAATAATTTATTTATCTTTAAAGCAAAAATAAATGAGGTAGTTAAACATTTTACTTATTTCTGGTCAGCGAAATTAAAAAACACTGCTTTTGATTTAGTTATATTTCACATTTATATTCTTGGGAATAGTTTTCACATGATGACACGATGCGGACATTCTAGATCCCACCCCATCTACTCCCGACAACTTTAAATACATTTATTTATAACCCAGTAAGAGCAAATGCTGCCAGGTCCATCACAAAGTATGAAACATTATACTTACATCAAATTCTACGTCAAACTCGTACTTGAGTAGTTCGTGGATATACCAACATTTCCCGAACCAGCGCGTCCCTTCCTTGTTGGACTCAAGTCGAAACCAGTCATTGTCTGCCTCCTTGTTATTCTGTACATACTGAAAACAGACACAGTTGTTCTTGTTGTAACCATTGCATCGCATATACAACTTTAAGAGAAAAGAGGGGTGCATATGGTAGTCACATATTCATATACAAGGACAGGTTTAGAAATTAACACAAGCCTGCAAGCCAGGGGCTAGTAAAAATTCCTGCAGGCCAGTAAAAATTTCCAAAATTTCCAGTGGGCGTTTCCAAAGGGCATTATATCTTTACTTGGGCTAGTAAAGCTTTTCAGTTCAGTTCTAACCCCGAAGAACTACATGAATCTAAAAACTTCTTGAAAACTTGGGAGTGGTGTCAAAACAAGCTCTTTGTATTATGGGTACCTGTAAACATGATAAACACGGTCGTGTATACTGTATGCTGGATCTGTGCATGTCTGAATAAGTCACTCAGTAACACTCAGTCCTCCCTTGATGTTCACCCAGTGTATTTATTAACATGATCATAGCAAGTACCCTGGATGCATTCTTCACCACAGCTTTGTTTTGGAAGTTTTCATCTTCACCCCTCCTGTCACTATGATCACTCAATCAGCACAAAAACATCGCTCTGATCAGCATGATCAGTGGGATTCCATCGGACAGCTATTCAAAGATTTTGGTAACCCCAGCTCCCTTAACACTGCGCATTTGTGTAAAATACCATTTCCCAATTAATTTTGAGTTACTAGTGTACAAATAAAACTATAGTAAACAACACTCTGCACAACATTTTCTTGATTTGATCATATGAGTAGGGTATTCTTCCATATTTTTACCAAATTTAAAAACAATCTTCAGGACAGTTCGGATGACAATCAGTCGATGTCCTGGAAAAAGAACCAATCTGTATCCCCACATTCCAGCATAGTATTATTCCATCAACCCGTGAAGATCAGGGTTAAAATTGGTTCTCAGAAACCCATGCTTGCCATAAGAGGCAACTAACTGGATCGGGTTGTCAGGCTGACAGACGTGGTTGATGCATGTCATCATATCCCATTGATTTGCTTGGATCGATGCTCATGATATCAATCCTGGAATGTCTGAACCAGACTCTAATTATTTTCAGACCGCTCCCATACAGCTGGAATATTGAGGAGTCCGATGTTAAACAACAAACAAAAAAATTATTGCATCAAACATACCCTACATTATGATCATGCGCATGTGAACAAATCCCGCACCTGTCATGTCCACACGAGATGTTTACCAACATTGTTCATGACTAGCTATCACCAACCAATCAAACAGCCTTATGATCCACTTATTCTGGGATAATCATCATCATTATCATCGTAAAATGGATAGGAGTGGCTAAGTATGGTTTTATACCACCATGACCACAGGAACTCGTTATTGGACATGTTGAGGTGAGGTGAAATTGGGTTTAAGATCGTGTCCAAGATTATTGCACTTATATAGCGACGTGCATGTACGTGTGTGTGTTTGTGTGGCTGCTTGTACCAGTCCGGACTGATCCCGATGTATAGTGCTAGCACACTGAGATACCATGCCGCAGTTTAACATGAATACCCCACTCAGACACAGTATACAGACTCCGAGCCGACCAGTCCTTGTTTTAGCCCCTTAATGCCATGGCAATGCTGAGCACCAGACAGGGTAACAATAAGTACCATCTTTTAACGTCTTTTGGTATGACGCGGCCGGGGATCGAACCCTGGATCTTCCGCTCTCCAGGCGGAAGCTCTACCACTAGACCACGGAGGCGGACCGGACATGTTGGAGAGTAAATAAAAATATATACCCCTAAATTTTAAGTTCTCTACTTACATAAAGGGGGTATATATTTTTATTTACTGACCAATAACGAGTTCCTGTGTTTAATACCCTGTTTCCAGCAGTATTCCAGCAATATCACCGCAGGGAACAACAGAAATGTGTGCCACACATTGTATCAATGTTGGCGTGGAGACGAATAATAGAGGACGGTAGCGAAATACCGTGCCCATAAATATCCAAGCAGAAACGAGACGGTACGATCTATATATGGGTCCGGTGTTTCAGTAATATACTGCGCCAGGAGTCTGTGGTTGACTTCACCATATGGAACTACAACTCACTGGATTGAAAACGATCTGACATAAAGAGTGAGAGCAAAACAACACCTTTATCAGTCCTTGATATTCCTCCTTTAAGCGCTGCACCCACAATTCTCCATCCCGTGGGCTGGCTTTCGTTTTCAACAGGGGAATTTGTGCTAAAGTTTTCTTGGTGACTTCGTCAACCATGTTGATTTCGTAAAAGGAAGTAGCTGGAGTTATCTCCCTTGTGTAGAAACTCCATACAGAAACAAGGATGCAACGCTTATAAGTAATGTGCAGAGTTTGCACTATCCGATCCGAAATTACTGTGCGTTCTTTCTTTTTCATTGAAATGTTTTTCCTTGGTGTACAACATAAGCAATGGCCTTTTACAAACCCCGAGGCGAGATACAAGAGAAACAACCGCGAACTTGATATCTACAAACTGACTTATTCCATGTAGCTGTCTGGGAGCAGATCTAAGTTCTAATGACATTATTACAGGGGTTTTGGTTTGAGAAAGTTTTTGTTGGGTTTGTTTTTTGTTTAACGCCGCACTCAGCAATATTCGAGCTATATGACCGCGGTCTGTAAATAATCGAGTCTGGACCAGACAATCCAGTGACTGATATCATGAGCATCGATCCAAGCAATTGGTTGAGAAAGTTGCATCAGGATGAGTACTTGGAAAAGATGTAAAACATACTTTTTAAAGAAACTTTATCGTTGTCTCATATATATAATGATATGCGTACATACGAAAAACAAAGTAATTATGAAAATATTTTTTTTAAACATTCCTGACAGTAAATTATTACACTCAACACAAATATCTGGGGTTTCTTTTGTGTGAAAATATGTTTGGCGTAGAGATGTGTTATACTTTGCTGAACGTGTTTTAGAATCTGCCATTTGTTGTGAAGGATATGATCCGTTTTGGACTTGAAGTGACATCTCGCATTGCCTTTCGGTAGTGTTCTCTCTGTATATTGATCGTATTATTTAATAAACGGTGTGTAAAAGTTGTGTCAGTGATTTTCTTAACTTGTGGTTTTGCGCTGTTATCTCCTGTTTACAATGGTAATTCCCGCTGCCAGTTCCGATAGTTCTACCAAAGAGGTGATGAAATGGGGTTTAACGTCGCGTCCAAGATTATTGCACGTGCATGCACGTGTGTGTGTGTTTGTGTGGTTGCTTGTACTAGTCGGGACTGATCCCGATTTATAGTGCTAGCTCACTGAGATACCATGCCGCAGTTTAACATGAATGCCCCACTCAGACACAGTATACTGTCTCCGAGCCGACCAGTCCTTGTTTTAGCCCCTTAATGCCAAGCGCCAGACAGGGTAAGAACAAGTACCATCTTTTAACGTCTTTTAGTATGACGCGGCCGGGGATCGAACCCCGGACCTTCCGCTCTCCGGGCGGACGCTCTACCACTAGACCACGGAGGCGGTCGTTCTACTAGAGAACTAGTTACAATCGTTTACATCAAAGTTGCGTATGTATTTTATCATCCAAAACTGGCTCCCACGAGAGATATCGCTTGGGTGGGATCAAGCAATATCTACACTGTAGATATCGCTGCAATGAAATTGCATCACAATGCTTTGCAGACCATTGTGATGTCACCGGTTACCATGACATCACAATTAAATGACATCACTAATTGCTCTGCAACAGAAGCTGTTAGCAGTACTTTTTACACTTAAGACACTGCTTATTACTGTCTACAAACTGAAAAAAGTTGGAAGAATGATGTTGGATGATAAATAAAATCTCACCCTCGTGTCTTTTGATATCAAATATATCAACACTCGGAGTTTTCCCACTTTTATCAACTCGTGTTGATATATTTGATATCAAAAGACACTCGGGTGAGATTCTCTATATCACGTAACACTGTACTGATGTTAAGACATGCCTTTTCTAAGTGTGTCAATATCACGATCCTTCTAATTGATTATTGATGAAACAACGAAAGCAACAATGAAGCAAACTGTGAAATCAATTATTATCCGAAATCAAACGTGTATTATCAATATTTAACGTTAAGCTGGATGTTTATGTTTCAATCCCCTTTAAAGCATTGCAACTTTTCTTTTACTCTTTTTTTAGGGTGGATGTTGCGTCCATGATTTGACCCGTGGAGATCCGGGTTAGACTGGTCTTCAGTAACCCATGCTTGTCGTAAGAGGCGACTAACGGGATCGGGTGGTCAGACTGGCTGCCTTGGTTGATGTATGTCATCGTATCCCAATTGCATGGACCGATATTCATGATGCAATCACTGAACTGTCCGGTCCAGATTCGATTATTCACAGACTGCCGTCATATAGCTGAATTATTGCTGAATGTGACCTTAAACAACAAATAATCAAGAAACGTCCATTACTTGCCATTACTTTTTCGATAATCAGCTGCACTTATCTGAAATAAATCATTGTCAAAACTAACAGTTTGAAGCTGGGTGCTTTCGTTGTTTCGTAAAATGGTAATCATATGCAAATGCAAAACCATAATTAAGTAATTAAAGCTTTGTTATGGGCAAAATTGTCATCGCGAGAGGGTGACACGGACATTGTTGTCAGATATAATAAATTTCGTTTTCAGGATGTATTAACACCCATCCCCATGACTACTGCGAGGACTACACAAAGTGAACGTAATTGAACACATGTTGAAGTGAGTGAATGCTGTGCCGGCAATATTGCAGCTGAGTATATCAGGATGGCATGGAAAAAGTCGAGTCCAGACCAGACCAATCTCATTATAATCAGATCTTAGTTCTCGGTACCGCTGAATAAAGATATGAGGACTTAGGGGTCACGTCAGAACGACCTTTCATCCGACCAATCAGAGCGTCGCTTACCAGATCATGAAAGTGACAGTTGGAATGTGATTTCTAATCATGCAACCTCGAAAACTTTAACACGGGGCATCCGAACGATAGTTAAGGGTTTAACGACTGGATTCATTCAATCGTCAAAATATGTTTCGAAGCGTAGTCGCCAATTTGAAATTAGTGCCGTAAAGCACGAGAAAGCTGCCTTCTGATTGGCTAATGTCGCTGCTTGTCAGTCCTTACATTGGTCGGTCAAAATTCGCGCAAGGTCTATCTGACGTGACCCGTAATAGGATATCCTCAGATCTTTGTTTAGCGATAGCGAGAACTAAGATCTGATTTTAATGAGATTGAGAACAGACAAACCAGTGACTACAAGCATAATCAACGAAACACCCTACCAGTCAAGTCAAAAGCCCGCCAACCAGACACGGTTATGTTATGTAATATAAATATATATATGAGTTATGTAAATTTTTGTCCCATGACTTTACAGAAAAAAATGACATTTTCAGTCTACGTGGAAGAAATTGAGTGAATCAGTTACACAAATACTGAACTTAGACATTGGTGGTAACATATATGTTATTGCACGTACAAAATAACAAGCGGTCTGGCTGAGATAATAATAGTGGTTATATTTCGTTTAGAGATTTAAGTGAGCACTTAAAATCTGACTAGATCTGAAGAACCAACCGTTTGAAATGTTGTCACTTAAATATTTTTCAGTGTGGCGAAGATAGGGTGTGGTGTCTTACTTTTGGGATTGAGCCGATTGATCTGTTTTACCACCAAATTAATTACTTCGCGCTGTACCAGCAGAGGCCCGACTGGCGTTGCTATTGAGCTCACAACATCGCACAACCCGATCACCAACACTGGCGAACTGCTTATAGTTGCCGAGGCAGGGCTGCCCGCTCTCGCGAGCGAGCTGTCTCACGCTTGTGCGCGGGCTTTCTCACGCTGCGCTGTTAATGTACGCGACTTGGACTGAACTTCGCAGCCTAATCCGCGGATCCGCGGAAAGCATGGGAAGAGGGGCGTGAGTGTACCTCTTGTGAGGTAGCTTTGACGCGGCGGCTCAAGATTTTGCGCCGACATACTTGATCGTCAAATTTTATATGCGATCCGAAATAACAATGAAAAGTTATGAGAAGTAGCTGGCATGACTGTTGGGCTCAGATTAAGCTGAGAGCGCAGGGCGTAAGACCCGGTTGTCGACCATACGCGAGCATAACGTGTAACAAGTGTCCAAATGTTCCGATGATTCTCTCCATCATGCAGTTTTCGCCATGGATCCGATATTACTACTCAACAAACCTTACCGCTTGGAGGATCCGAAGTTACACTAATGATCCGAAGAAAATACGTTACAACCAGGCAACTGGCTCGCGACCCATCACAACGTGGTCACGGTACTCGTCTCCGTAGATTAAGCAGCGTTGGGAATCCGAGAAAACGCAGAAAACAACTATGGTTAAGCGAATCCGAAAACCGACGGTAAAATCCGAGATGCTTGCTTCTGTTTCGTCATAAGTACCTGAGAATCATCAACGTGAACACGATTTGCGAACTACCGCGCTCCTTCACTCGCCTCTTTCCGTGGCACGGGATCCGAAAAAAATCTGCTCCCTGATTGAAAAAAAAAAAAACCAATGGTTTTTTTCCCCCCGTCTGACCCCTAATGCCAGGGCAAGAGGATCTGTGTGACCGGTGCATTGAGAGCGAATTTCCAGAGATGTCAGACGTCTTATCGTTTTTCCTAATCAGTTACGTCGGGGAGGGGGGGGTTCTTCATAATTTAGCAACTAAATTATATCCCAATCCTATTAAACTAATTAACCTGAACTATATAAGTATTGTCATAATTCCTCTATTTCGTAACTGAGATAGAATTTAACTAAATCATGTGTTGTGCCGTAATTGCATGTCTCTGACGTTACTTGTGCGGTTGTTGGATATTTTTATTTACCAACCACCCCAGTACTATTACTACTAGTACTACTACTACTACTACTAATAACAACTAACTAACTAACTACCTAAGTTCCTACCTACCTACCACACACCACACACGCGCGCACACACCACTCAACGGCATGAACTAGCCGCGGGATCCGAAACTAACCAGACATACTAGGCCCATGCACATTCTAGCGAGTGAGATTAATCTTACCGGAATGGAAGTCAACTTCCACTGCTACCAGCTGGCATGTAGTCGCCGATCCCGTCGTTCAAAAATCAGCAAAGTTTCTATGAGTCATGCAGTTTTCCCCACCTGTCCGATATTACCAATGAAGCGGCGTAGAGCGTCGGCATATCCGAAATTTGTTTGTCGCTAGTACTTCCTGGTGGTTTCGCTGAAGCTGCCGTGCCCGCTCCCGAGCATTCT